GCAAACCAGCCCACAAAAACAGAGTCATCGTTGCCTGGTACCATCGCGACATTGTGGAGCCGGGCGTCGACAGTTGTGTCACCGTCTCTGCTGTAAACTTTACGACTCGTGTCTCCGCTTTCGGCTATTCTCAATTACTGTGCACTCCAGTATAATATTACAGATAATCAACCCGCGACATCGAAGAAAAAAAAAAGAGTCACACACGCCAGCATTTCTCACCTCTCACTTTTTCTTCTTCTCATTCTCTTCACTTCCATCCTGCGGCTCCGCCTTGCAAATCGACGCGTCCCAACCCAACCAGCTGCAGCTCCGCCTCCATTCGGCAGCACTAGACCGCAATCCCGTGCCACTTACACCAAGGCCGTTTTCCATCTCACCCTGCCAACCGGTGCCATCTGACCGTTGATACGCCTATATTTGGCCTTTGGACTGCTCCTGTCAACTGAGCATCAAAAGTGGATAGCTACATCTGCCCGACGAATCGATCTGCAGCATCCTTCCATCTACCGGATCCTGTCGATCAGCTCGCCCATTGTCTCCGGTGTGACCGCCATCAATCTGTCGATTACGAGCACACGGGGCACAAGGTCCAGCCCGTTTCCCAGTCACGCATGAGAAGACAACTGCCTCCTTTTCATTCATCTCGCAGCACGACCCCTCGCACGCACCCATCTGTCTGCCAATAGGATATATAGTGGACACAGCGGCTGTTCTGCCACCAACCCGCAGCTTGGCTACCTTGCTTTTGGTTATCTCTCGAGCCTTGGACCGTCCTGGTAGTTCCACCCCCTCGTTGCACGAGCTGCCAGGATAACACCTCACCCACGCACCTGGACTTGTCTGGCCTAGGCACTTTATTAGTTGCTCGACTCCCATTCCAAATGCCTCATCATCAACGTCGAAAGTCCGGGCCTTACTCTGCCAACTCATCCACAACAGACGTCCGAAAGGCTGTTACCGCCACGCCCACGCAGTACAAGCGACCAGCCATGACACGGCGACACACTCCGTCCAGTGCCCAGAAGCTCGGGCGAGGCAACCGAGAGCACAATACCGAGGTCTGGGACAATGACGAGCGGGAGAGCTTCCCCCAGTATTGGTATGAAGACGCCTCTCTCCAGCTTGTGGTGCAGAAAAGGGGGCTTGTTTTACTGACTCTTTTTGTTTTTTCACAGCATGACCTGCGAGAAGCAGTTTGTCCCCTACGACGACATGTTCTTGTACTGCTCTGATGCGTATGTCAAATAGACCCCAAGCCCTACTGATGACGGCCGCTGACGTTTTTTGGACATGACAGATGCCGTCGAGTTGACCAGAATTCGTCGCCGCAGCAGGCCGCCACGGTTCACAGCTACTACGGCGCCGTGCACAACTCGTACGCTCACTATCCTGGAGACAAGTCCGAGCCCCGAGACATTGTGCCGCGCGCCTCGCCGTCGAGGCCCAGCTCGATGCACTTCAGCAACTCTCCCCCGGCGTCCCCAGGCACCACGCTCAACTACCACACCTCTGCCATGTCCGCCTTGCGATCCCTCAACGTGAGGCCGCCCAGCCCTCCATCGCCCACGGGCAGCGGCATCTGGCCCTTCAGCCGCAGCTCAGCTACCAGCCCCAACAACTCGTACACGCGACCCTCTACTAGCGGCTTCTTCTCGTCGGCGAGCACCTACGACCTGGGCTATGGTGGCGGCATCTACTCGCACGAAGCTGCGTCTGGGGCCATGGACCGGCCACTGCCCTCGCGGAACCCCGGCGGCAGCTCGCGGCCAAAGAGCATCGAGCTTGTCATCCCCATGCTGTCTCGGTGATTTCGGACGCAGGCATGCGTTGGGGAGGGCACGACAAGGAACGCGGCTGGCTGCAGTCTGTCCCCCCTCGAACCTCCCTAGCGGCCTCATCCCCCCCCTTGCGGACGGCACGCCGGCTACCAGCAGCTGGGCCACGGCGGCCTATCACCGGACTGCCTGAGCCCTTGGGACTGGGTTGGCGCAGCTTGGCCACCGCTGTGGGGGTGCTCTGGCCGTGTTGGCGCGTGCAGATGTCGTGACGGTGCTGCAACTCACACCGCGCCTCTCCGCATTTTGCCAGAGCCTAGCCAAACGGCGCATTGACTCGATTGCGGGGTTGCAGGGGATCCTGGTGCCAACGGCAAGGGTTGTCTCAACATGTTACCACCATCAACTGACATGTGGAATGGTCTCGCCTGTCCGTCTGAGCATCCAGCCAGCCACCTTGCTTATGCTTCCCCCCCACGGCTGTCTGGCACACTTCCTCATTCATTGTTTTACTCACTTTTATCCGGGCGTTTTTGTTTTTTTCCAGGGAGAAACGAAACAAAAGTTTTCATGTTACCATTCCGCTTCTACCTCTTATTATTACTAGTGTTTGTTTGTCACCACCATGGAGGGGGTTATCGGGCCCTTTACCAACCTTGGACGGCGGTTGTCCCCCCTCGCGCGGCGCTTTCTCACATCCCAACCTCTGAGTTCTCTTATCAGCCGCTCTCACTGTCACCTTGCACCGCATATGTGACTGCATTCCACCAATCCGGGCCCCGGGCGACCGAGGCCATCTGGAGTGTGTCGCTTCGCTTCGCTTCCGGACTTGTCATCTACCTTATTTTGGGATTTCTTTTTCTCTTTTTTTTCTCCTTGCGTCTTCTCTCTCCCCTTATTTCATTAAAGACTTTTTATTGCCTCTTGGCACAAGATGATTATTACATGTCACATGGATTAGATTAAAACATGACATGACATGGGTATTGGATGATGATTTCGGCGGCGCTTTTGCATGGATATTCACATACATTTATTTATTATACTATATACAAAAGACGGAGAGTCAAAAGGGTGTAATTCATCTCTTGGGGTAGACAGAACCCATGAAACCAAGAAACCAACTAAATATCAATTAATAAAACAACTTGTCACAACTACTTTGGTTCGACTGAGCAGCCGCATGCAGCGTTCGACCGTGTTCGGCGCTTATCCCGCCTGTTTTGTACTGTATCTACTTGAGACTGCAACTATGCTGCTATTAATATCTGCCTTTTTTCCTTTTATACGTGAATTAGTATGTTATAGGTATGCGGATGAATGACTGTACAGTTATGAGTACGTGTTCGTACAAACAGTAGGAGATACTGAGATAAGTAGGTATCTGGTAGATAAGGCGGAGATACCAGATAAGGCCTCTAGATAAGGTATCTCGATGCTGCTTCCGGTGTGCTTATCATGGCCGAGTACCATGGATGAAGTCCCTTGCCTTGGTACTCCCTTACATGTACCTCTTCTGCTGCTTGTCTCATCTCACCAAAAGTCGCTGCGAACAGCTTGTGCCAGATAAGCTACAGGTAAATGTCTTGTCTGCGCTTACTCATGGGTTTTTCTTATCTTTCGTACTGTACCTACCTCCCAAGGTGCAAGGTTCGGGTTCCGAAGGGTTCTCTTGCATTGCATCTGCATCTGCATTTGCATTTGCATTCGGTAGGGATTAAGAGAATAGGGGACCTGCGTTTTTTCTTTTCTCGGTTATGGGATGGGATGTAGATGCAGCGGCTTCGGAAGAGGGACTGGGAGGAGTGTCTTATCTACTATTACGTGGATACGTGGATCTGTTTTTGTAAGGTATCTCGTTTGGTCGGTGTGAGATGCTGGGGTCAAGATGGATGCTATTATTGGGGGTGTTTTTTTTTTTTTTTTTGATAGTGTTGAAGTCGATGGGCGGTTTGTTCTCACCTGGTGTCCCTATTCTTGAGTTTGTTTGCGCAGCTGTGAGACTCTCTCTCTCTCTTGTCTGTGAGATGGTTGCCCGCTTCTGGGGTGAGTTGTGGTTGTTTAACAGACCGCCGTGCAACGCAGCACTGCTTTTTGGAGTTGAGAAGCAGGGAGATGATTCGTGCGGCATCTTGGCGGCGCAGGAGTGCATGCTGCACCTCTGCTTTTTTTTTTCTTTTTTTTTCTCCGTGTTGTTTATTTGTGCATTTCAAAACAAGGGGTTGTCTTTTTTTTACCATGTCGTAACGTGTGAGTGCGGCGTATCGTATGCAGCATCGCGACTTGCGTATGTCGTGCATCTTGTGAAACTGAGGACTGGGATTACACAGAATTGCTATCAAAGTTGCAATATAGGTGATGCGAAGGAAGCGCGTCTCTGGTTGGTCAGAAAAATGGAAATGTGTGACGAGGTGGCGGAAGAGGTCGTGGAGAGGTGTTTATTTCTCTTGGTGTTTCGTGTGACTTTTTTGGGTCTGGTGAGCTGCGCAGTTGGTGTCGAGTGTCATGTGTTGCACAATATGATTAGGTGTGTTGCTATATATCATATTCCAAAAACAGGAATGATGTTTCTGGCTACTATTGTCCAGTACCCCAGCGAGGTGATGTTTAGATGTAGGAATAGAATGCAAAGGGATGCCTTGTATCTGCTTTTTTTGTTACCAAGTAAATTGGCGCCTTGGTAGTTGTAGATGGTGTCCGATTCTCTGGGCATCCGCAACTGTCCGACACTTTCAGCTACTGTCGCTACTTTTATTTAGTGTCCGCTGTGATATTCCTCTAGTTTCTTCTCAATGTATGTTGGCCTTGAATTTGATACACAGGATATACATGTACCTCGCCCTCGAGTTGAAACTGTTGAGATACAAGATGTCATCGCGACATAACTACCACATGCAGTCCTGCTGCGGGAGGCCGACAGCCCCGCAATCATTTGACAACCTAGTCGTTACTGAGAACATTGAATGGCATTTTCTGCTGTAAGCTAATATGGAATATAAATTACTAGGACTCTACTATGAGTAGATTTTGCAGTAGGGTGGCGGACTTCTCATGCATTCAACATCAATATACCGAAAAGTAGCATTCCCTGTTTCCGAGACAGTCCTTATACGTCAACTTGAGAATTATATATATATAACAGTGGGAATATCAAAAAAAAAAAATCCATATTATTATTAAACACTCGAGTCACCTTTCCTTACCTTCATAACTCTTTCAATCATGTCGTTGTCCGCCGCCCTTCCCGGTAATGGAAGTGATGAATTATGCCTTGGGCAGGTCTACATACTGTCTATTCTCAACACCAACGAAGTCCTCACCGCTGCCGATCACCAGGATCTGAAATTACTGCGGTTCGAAAACAGTCGCAGTCAGATATGGCGACTTGATCCACATATTGAGAACAGACATACATTTGTCAATGTCGAAACCGGCCGCTGTCTTGGCACAAACCCAAGCCATGGCTATGTATGCTGCAAATGGGATAACTTTGAGCCAGCAGAGCAGTTCACATTCATCCCCCAGAAAACCGGCGGCTACCGCGTGTATAATCATTGGGGCAACAGGCCACGACTAGTTACGCGACGAGGAAACGAAGACTTCCTCCGTACCACGACAACCGGTAATGCTTTTGCAATTATAGGTGTCCACTGTGCCGAGTAAGTCACCACTGTTATGTAGGAAATACAAATACTTACTCCTTCCAGAAACACTACATTACAAGCATCAGAAAGCAACATGTTACTGCAAGCATCGGAACCACTGGGTGGTCAAAGGGCCGCCGGCTTTCGGTAACAACAATAAGATGTGCCAGAATTACTCATTTCAGACCAAATGAGCCGGAAAAGAAGACCACCATTGTGGCATAAAGTCTCTGTTTGTTGTTACGATGGCACTGTCACATGAAATTGTCTGTCAAATGGCTGCCGCGACTGTCAACAATAAGAAGATGCTCCAGTCTGTATGCACACTTTAGATTGAGCGACCAACGCCGTCTATTGTTTACGAGCGGACCTAAATTCCTATCACATAATCTGAAAAAGTGGTATTTTAATGCATCTTTGAGCTGTTTACCTGATTAGACTCGCCTGGATTTTGTGAGCTCTGTCACATGTGAAGAATCCTTTGTCTTTATTGATTAGGTAGAGTTGATTGCAGTTCTTTTTCCTTCTCATTATTGATCTGCTCATCATCTAGGGTGTGCTTGCCCCGAAGTCATCAAGAACTCACCACCACAAGCCCTTCTTCAAACATCCTTCGATATACCATCCATCATATAACGGCAGATCAAGTTTGCCACCAAGGCGTATTTTCATAGGCTCAACATCACAGTCACACAAGCCCTCGAAGCCGCAAACTCTACACTCCCAAACATCATTTCAGTCACATTTCAGCCTTAAGCAATTGCCTTCATTTCCTAGTTTCATTCCCCCTACACTAGCCACTCCCACTTCTCTTCTCTTCTTGTAAAAAATAACTTGAAACTCAAAAACACAATCAACACCCCAGTAGCACAAATTCCAACTCCGTACAAACGCAGGCAAGCACCCGTTTTTATTTCCACGTCATTCGCACTCTCTCCATTTTCCCTTCGCAGTCCCATGCCATGCCAAGATACGTATTGTAACAGCTCTCAAGATAATCAAAGCACAGCCAGCCAGAAAGACCTGGACGAAGACATCATATATGGCGTAATAGCTAGTCCCAGAAAAGAAAAGAAAAAAGCAAGGGCATCATAGCCTCATTCCGGCTGTAAGTCGTCACCAAAAAGAAAAAAGACGCATCGACGTGGCCGCCATTGTGCCACTACCCTTCCCCCCCCCCTAAAAATAGCACTCACTCACTCCTTTATGACATGACGTAAAGATGAAGGAAAAAATCATTACAACCATCCTGAAACAAAACTTGTCCCTTTTTGTGTTTATATCCCGTCTATTGGTCTTGAGCTGGCCATTTCTCCGTACCGGCCTCGGTGCTTTGTCGTGTCGTATGCCTGAAGCACGCGCGTCTGGCTCTCGTCGGCCTGCGAAAAGGCATAACCACGCTGCTTACGCATACGCTGCACCTGCCGAACCTTGCGGATGGCTTTCTGAAATTGCTCCATCCTGTTTTAATATAAAGTCAGTGGTGCAGCTCCATCACGTCAAGTTTCATGATGGTTAGATTAAAGGGACACGGGGGCGGCTGTGCTACATACCTAGGCCGGTAGTCCTGAATATTGTACTTTTGAATCTCCTGAATGTGGTGATACGTCTGCGGCCGGTACATTCGCTTGGCGTATTTCCAGGCAATGTCTCGTGACAGACACAGCAACGCAAGGACAAAGGTTTGAAGCCAGAAGACGGGACTGCTGTACAGCTTGGGAATGACGCCATGGTATTCGGTTGAGATGTTGATCTTGGGTGCGACGGTACCGTAAACGGCAATAAACACCCACCAGATGACCATACTGCCGGGGATGGCCATCACATGGTACTTGGTCCAGTTGTTGGTGACCAGCGCCGCCTTGCCTAGGACAGTGAGGAGCACAGCTCCGTAGAGAGCAGTTCCCCAGACCCAATGTCCGTCAGTCTGGCCTTGGCCGTCAATAACATCGCTGTACCAGATGAGCTCGGCAAAGATATAGAGGACGATGGAGTGGTAGATGGCGTTGGCAATCCACTGCGCAAACACCTTCAGCTTGAACGCGGAATTCTGCTGGCCCATCATGTAGAGCTGAGGGTAGCGATCGAGTAACCGAGCAGAGATGAACTGGTCAAGGATACCAATGGCGAGCGGCGGGAGAACCGTGTAAAAGACGTTGTAGAAGGACAAGGTCCAAGATTCGTAAATGACCTGGCCGGAAAAGACATTCTGGAACGTGTACCAAAACTGTGTCAAGTACAGGGCAATGTTCTTGTAAAAGGAAAACAGAATCGTCTTGCTCACTCGCTGGTAGCTCCATGCGCCGTGTACAAGCAGCAGCTTCCGTAGATACCTGAACTGGGCAATGGCCACGTCGGCACTTCGAGCAGCCTGTAGACCTTCAACACCGCTGATACCAACGCCAATGTGTGCTGCCTGGATCATGGAAACGTCGTTTGCTCCATCGCCGATAGCGAGAAGAATCGACTGCTTCTGGTATTTCTTGACCAGCTTGACGACCAGGGCCTTTTGCAGGGGCGACACGCGACAGCAGATGACGGCCTTGCACATGATGGCGAGGTCGAGGAACAGCTTTTCCAGATCCTTCTCGAGGGCATACGTAAGAGACTTTCCGTCAATGACCAGCGCCAGCGATTCCATTTCGATAGTACCGTCGCCTTGCGTCCTGATGGCATCAATCTTCTTCTGGATGTTGTCGCGAGTCGCGGCTGCCGATTCCTCGTTGACAATCAGAAGCATCATGTCCTCGCTGAGAAGCTTGCAACTCATACCAATGTTGATAGCCGTCTCCTGTCGATCTCCAGTCAGAACCCAGACTTTGATGCCGGCCTGCTGCAGGGTGTGAATCGTCTCCGGTACGCCATCTTGAAGGCGATCTTCGATAGCAGTGGCACCAAGAAGGTAAAAGTCATGTTCGATAATCTCAGCAGCCTTATCCAGCTCATCCGCTCGATTGCCGCCCACGGTCGTTGCCGCAGTATCAAAGATCTGGCGCCACTCGTGGTACTCTTGTTCCGGCACTTCACGCATGGCCAAGCAGAGCGTCCGCAGACCCTCCGATGCATATTCCTCGAGGTGACGCAGAGTGACTTCGACGTGGGGGTTTTGGTCGTTGAGGCGTTCCAGGATGACGGTATCGGCACCCTTGCAGTAGACACGGATCTTTCCGTCAGGGCAGCGGAAGATGGCAGACATGCGCTTACGGGTCGAGTTGAATTCGCAGACGGCCAACAGTTCGTATTCCATTTCTCGGCCATTGGCTTCGATGATGACGGATTTCGGCTTTCGCGCAGTGAACCTGTAGCCCATGGTGACGGCTCCGGCCACCAGGGCACCTTCGTCAGGGGAGGCAGCTTGATATTTGATTTGGCCCTTCTCGTCCATCTCGGGGATAACCGTGTGGCAGGTAGCAAGAAGCGCGAGGAAATGGTCAATCATGCCCGCAGTCTGATGTCCCTGGGTCAAGTTGGCCTGGAGCGCCTTGAAGTCGTAAATGGCCGCCTCTTCGTCATCCGCGCCCGTCGCTCGGCGGTCCTCGGGAACCACTTCGGCATACATAATGCCGCCAATGGAGCATTGCTTGAATTCCATCATGTTGCAGGTAAGCGTACCAGTCTTGTCCGAAAACACGTACTCGACCATGCCGAGTTCTTCGACCAAACTTGACGTTCGGCAAGTGGCTGGGGTATCAGTCTTGTCGTAGTACATGTCGAGATCGTCGTTGATAAGGATACCATGCCAATACTTGACCAGCTCCACCGTGACGAAGAGAGAAATTGGCACGAGGGCAGAGAACAGCACCCAGTACGTAACCATATCTTTGAAGAAGGTCGAGGCCGCGGTTCCAGCGCTGTCGATTTTGTCCAGATAGAGATATGAGAGCGAGTCGCCAGTAGCGCCGCGCATCACCAAGTCTCCAACGGTACTGATGACGCTAAGCACCAGCAGCATGCCGACCAACATGAGCACGAGCCAGTTGAGCTGCCTTTCGACCTTGGTTCGCTTGATTGGCGTCGCCGTGGCGTTTCGCATCAGCTTGGTCTCGTGGCCGGTGAAAACAACGATGCCGTGGATCCAGGGGGTGTTTCTCAGAGTGGCGCCTCGAAGGAGCAGCTGCTCGGGATTCAGAGCCAGCTCCTTTTCTCCTCCGCCAGCTTGCATGATCAATGTTGCTTCGTACGTGTACAGGCTGCTGTTGGGCTGTTCCGACTTGATGCGACCACCCAGCCGGCTCACTTCGCTAGGGGAAACCAGCGTGGACGTCTCCGGAAGGGCTTGCTTAATCTTCAAGTTGGTCTCGCCGTCCAGGTTTGCTGTTTCGATATAACAGAGACCTTCGGGCTCGGAACTTGCCAAGAGAACCAGATCGGCTGGAAACGGCTCCTCAGATTCAACCCTGACCACATCGCCCACCGCTACAGCATTCCATTTCGTGTCCGTAAAACTTGAGCCCCGCAAAACTCGCGCCGTGGAGGTGTTGAGGGCATTGTCCGCAACTCTTCTCCGGTAATCTTCCACCAATTCCTTGCCAGCGGAAACCAAAAGCACAACAGCCAGCGGTCCAATCGTCGTATACCTGTTCGTGGGCGACAATCCAGGGATCTGCTGCAGGGCGGCCGTGAACAGGAAGAAGATGTTGGCAACCTTGGAGAACTGCTCCAAGAGGAACTTGGGGAGAAAGGTGACGACGTTGTACTTGGCCGTCGAGATGTGGTTGCCGGCGTACTTGTTGGCGGCATTGGCGGGGGGGTTGTTGAGGTGGATGATTCTTGGTCCCAGGCTCGCGGGATCTGGCTTCCCCCTGCCAAAGCCGAACTTGAAGTTGCCCGACTTCTTGGCCTTGGGCGGCTGCTGTTGCTGCGACCCGCCTCGATCGAGTCCAGGCTCCGTCAAGGGCAGGTCCATCTCCGAATAGCCCTGGCCCATGCCAAGCCTGTGCTTCAGCTTGCCAAAGAAGCCTCCTCCCAGAGTCAGCACGCTGTTCCGGACTCTCGCATTGTCTCTGCCAGCCATCGATGGCCCCGCACCCGCGGCGCCTCCATGCTGGTAATACATCTCGTCCTCGTCAAAGTCGTCGGCGTAGCGCGGGTAGTTGTCGAGGTCCGAGGACTGGCTGAATTGATGATTGTGATACGGTCCAGACCGCTCTGACGGCTGCGCCATCTGCGCTCCGCCAGAGCGACCCGGGGGAGGATATGAGGGCTCGGCGCCGACGAAATCATCGTAGGACACCGACGGTCGGCTGGACGGATCCTGATCGTGCTCGTACGCCCGCGCCAGATCGTCGTCGTTCAGGGCCGACCGCTGCCCCGCGCTGTATACGGGCTGCTCGTTGTCCAGGTCGAGCAGCAGGTCGTCGTTATTCGAGGGCCCGCCATGGCCTCCTATGGGGTGTCGTCCAGCCATGCCGGAGGACAAGTGATGGTTAGGCGATCGAGATGTCGGAAGGGCAACGCATGCGGGATCGACGGCGGGTTTTGTTGATTCGAGGTGGTTGTTTTTGTCGTCGTCGTTGTTGTTCTTGCGTTGGTAGATTTTGAAACTGGCGGGCGTGGTGGCTGCACTTCGTATTCAAGGCTCGCAAGCAAGCTCGAAATCGGGTTGACACCTGGTCCCGCGATATCGATAGGGCAGGGTCTGCTCCGTACTGTAAGACCGCCCGCTGATGTGTTCCGTCGAGCGTTCCAATGTTCCCCTGCACAGCCTCGTTTCGGCGCGCAACCCGCTATTTCACCACCTGTAGCGGCACGCTTGTCGAGGCTCGGGGCGGTACGTCAGCTCACTGGCAGTGATTGGCCTCTCGGTGGAGGGTAGAGGCGCAGTTGGAGGCCAGAGAGGATCCCAGAGCAGTTCTTTTGCCCGGGAGCTGACAGAGTACATGTAATAATAGCAATTGGGGCACGGATCAACGTCTAATCTAACAGCCTCTGTCTCCTCGCTCCCCCTCCCTGGGATTTCTGATACGAGACGTCTGGTCTGATTCGAAAGGGGGCCGTCCAGCGTTGACTGCTGCTGCAGCGCCTGTTTTGCGAGGCTACAGGCGCCTGAAGAGCCCAGAGCATTAGCGGGCCCACGTTCCAGCTCGGGTTCCCCTGAGCGCGGTCCCCTTTGCGACAAGTCCCCCTCCACCGCATTTGCACCGGCGAGGTACCTTGCTGAATGCCAGAGCTAAATTGAGGATACTTTGCAGCGGTCGGTTTCGTCACCCTTGGAATTCAAACAGTGTCGCAGCGGCCAGTTGTACGGAGTACCAAGTATCGGAAAGCTGCCGTTTGGTCTCAGCCTTGCCACCGGCATCAAACAATCGAAGCCCAACATCATCAAACATCCATCAAAGTTGAACCCACAAGGCTGCCCCACCGTTCACAGCATCCCGTGGGTCGAAAGATTCGAGAGTAGAAGCGCTGAACAATAGTCGTCATCACATCAGCTATATATCGAGTCTCTTGGGACGGACTGCAGCTTAAGCACATCACCCGGATACCAACAACACCATGGTCTGCGGTAAGTGTTTGAAGCTCCAAAAGAGCACCAAGCTCGCGACCCCAGAGGTGAAGAAGAAGAGCGAAATGTACTACGGATCGCCGGCCAGCACAAAGGCGAGCGGCTCCAAATCAGCCACTCTAGGTAACACCGGAGTGTCCAAGGTAACAACGGCCTTGCTTTGGTTTCGTTCTTGGAAAGATTGCTAACGAGTCTCAGAGTAAGCTGCTATCAAAAGCAGCCAAGAATCCATACGCACAGTACTCAAGGTATGCGTAAATTTCTTGCATCTATCTAACATGTGCCTCGACTGACAATGAGTTATAGTTCATGTACCAAATGCAAAACCAAAATTACACAAGGCCACTCGTATTGCCCAAAGTGCGCCTACCAAACCGACTGTAAGTTGCTCAATACTGCTTTTGCATTCAGATCATCTGCGTGTAAGGTATCCAGGCTCACATTACCACTCAATAGCCTGTACTATGTGTGGAAAGCCAAACAAGAAATCCACTTCAAAAGCCCCAACAGTTGATGCCTACAAAAACACGTTAAAATAAAAAGCATCGCCTATAACAGATGGCAAGGTCTTAAGCCGTCTCCTTGACGCGGGAATCAAGATCCAGCACGTCACATCCAAACGGGAACATTCCGAAGAGCGGTGAGCAAATCTCACTCAAACGCTTATGCGCGCGCTCGTATCGCCCCAAGCGACAGTCCTGTTCTGTATGTGTGCCGGCATCGTCCAAACACTCGCTCTTTAGGTCCCTCGAATCCCGATATTGCAGAAGAAATGAGGCTGAGATGGCTACGTAGTAGCTCGAAAGAACATGTGCGGCAAGGCTGGACTTGTAACTGCAATAGAAATTGCTTCAAGAGGGTACTGATACTTTCGTAGATAAATCAATACAAGCTCAGCCAAATCATGATCCATAGATACTCTACATTTCTTTCTTTCCTTCTTTCTTTCTTTCTCGTCTCGCTCAATATAATCAAATACTCCCACCTTTACAGCTTGGGAGCGCTGTTCACCTTGGTCAGCCATTTTGAAATATGCTCGTTAACATCAGGACCAGCCTGTGTCAAGGCCCAGTGGGAAGCATCGACCTCCGCCCGGGTCAGGTCAGCAAAAGCTGCGTCCATGCCGCGAGACATGGCCGGCGGCAGAGCTTCATCACGGGTCGCGGCAATGAAGAGCGCGGGCTGCTCGAACGTGTTGGGCCGTGCCTCCTCGCCCAGCGCAATCTCCTCCTTGGCGTTGATCTCGCGTGTTCGATACCAGTTGAGCGGGCCACGCAGCTCGGGGGCCTTTTGCAGCGCGTACTGCTCCACGTAGAAATCCAGCTCGTCGGCGTCCAGCAGAAGGGGGTCCCCAATCTTGTCCAGGTTCTCAAAGATGAGGCCATGCTCCATGGTGAAGGCGTGTTCTTTGTTAGGGCCCCGGCCGAGGAATATCGCCTTGAAGAACTGTCGTAGCTTGTCCTTGCCGGTGACATGGGCCTCTACATCGGGGCCCCCCAGCTGTAGTTGGTACTTGAAGTTTCGCAGGCGTCCGGCGGCGATGATGGCCTCGAGGGGAATGTACTCTTTGCTCAGGGGGAACAGAGGAGTGCAGACTGAGAAGACGGCCTTGATCAGCTTGGGGTAGTAGTAGGCCGTTCGCCAGACCAGGGCACCGCCCCAATCGTGGCCACCCAGCACAATCTGGCCATCCTGACCGACGAACAGACGAGCCAGCTCAGCGACGTCGTCAGACACGCTCTTGTAGCTGTACTCCTTGGGGTCCTGGGGAGCGTCGGTGCCGGCGTAGCCAATCATGTTGGGCGCAACGACCTGGTAGCCCAGGGACATCAAGTAAGGGATCTGATGGCGCCATCCAAAGGCGAGATCGGGCCAGCCGTGAACAAGGAAAATCGTATCGACCTTGGCGCCTTCGGGCTCACCGAGGATGTAGGAGTATGTCTTGCCGCGGACCTGCTTGGTCTCCCACTTGACACGGGGGTCATTGGGCTTGAGCTTGCTGGTATCCATCTTGCTATACTTGCGGGGTCGCATGGTTAGAATTAGAGTTGTCTAAAAATAGAGATAGAGTTGTAAAGAGTAGAATTCAAGTTGTGTAGAGTTGAAGAAACAGGAAAAGTTGTATAGAGATGAATTGATGCGGTTATGCGGAACAGACAAAACGTACCTCGGCGTTCCTGCAAGCAATGAGGGGCTCTGATGCTACAACGCCTCTCGACTTACACGCTTAGCGGCTACCTAATACTTGGGCTCAACACAATAGAAGCTAAATCCAACTACCTGTTCAGACAACAGAAAGCATTGATTCCATCTTTACGTGGTAAAAGACACGGCCAACCGCAATATATATGCTTCCCTCGGAACATTGTGTCACAAAGCCAAAACAAGCAGCAAATATCCCCCACCAAAAGCCTCGGCAGCGATCATCTGCGGGGCCTTTCTGAAGAGGATGGATTGATTACTTCATGCTGTAACACAGGTAATCAGAACAGGGGACAAACACCAAGGCAGCACACCTGACGCAATCAATTTGTGTTATTTTGTGTATCCTGAACTGTCGAGTGTTGGTATCCGTCTTATGAAGTTGTGTAAATCTGCATGTTGCACGTACGCTTACCATGCCACAAAGGAGTAATTGCTTACCGCACCGTCTCATTTGCTTACCGTATCTGTGGCCATGGAGATCCGAAACCATGACGGACATCTAAGCCTATTTGAGACGCCTCCGTGCGATACTCTGACACGACGGCATCCGCAAGGAGTAACCAAAGACTCTATCTATACACAAGCGATCTATCCATAAGTAGGAGAGTTAAGAATGGTCTAATATAAGAAGAATTTGTACAGTACCAGCGGCAATGGCGCATGCTAGGAAAAGGCGCTGATAAGAGCAACTACTTGAAGAAGCAGGTCATCGAGATTCTATAGGTACCTATAGTAGGCACTTAGTGGGTTAAGCGAGACTCCCGAGTGCCGAACATTGAATTAGTACCAACTGCCGGAACTACAACCTAATGATGTACCTCCAATGCTGTCAAATTGGGGCTTCAATTGCACCAACACTGTCCATGCTCTTATAATGTGTGCATTTCGACGCAACTCATTGCTGCTAATCTATCTTGACGTCAATCTTCACATGACGTTGTACTATGCCTGTCTGAATCTCTACCTACAATACACATTTTACCGCCTCCCTATAGCAACCGACGACTCCGTACCATATTGTAGCTGGATAGACCTGGAATTAAGAACAATCACACCGTAAAAAACATCAAGGTATCACTTAGCCTCCAGCAGTGTAAAAAAAAGAAAAAGAAATTTGGGGGGGAATCATATGGTACGCGCCGGTCAGTAAATCACCATGTCCTCCTCAGCCTCCTCAAGGTCATCACCTGACTCATCGTGATGCCCTCTGTGCAAGTCTTGAGACACTCTCCGTTCCTGTAGGTGTGGCTTATCGACGTTGTGGCGAGGGCTCCGGATAGGACTCTCACGCTCCGGTGCTTTTGTGGCAGCAGGTTCATCGGGGGTCACGCTGATTTGCCTCGTTGGGGGACCATACCGCTCAATATGCCGCTGTTTTCGAGCCTTGAACTGCTCCACTTCCTTTTCCACAGTGGCTTTCGCCCTCTGGATCTGGTCCTCGATGGTATCTTTCTGCTCAGGCGTGGTTTTCCATGGAAGGTAGAACTGCGCGTGGCCCAACGTTAGCATATATCTCCGCTAGATGACTGTGAGATCGGCGGCGATGCATACAATTGCGGGCTCCGCCCTGGTCCGCAAGAACTTTGCCATGGCCAGCCGTTTTTCGTGCTTCTTCTTCATCTGATTTCAGTTTCCAAATTAGCACACCGTATACCCTCCCACAGAACATAGCATATGTCTTGTCCATACCACTTCTTCGTCAAACACGATTTGCTCCGCCATGCGTACTAGGTGCAGCTTCTCCAGCTTCTCGGCCCGCTTCTGGTCATCCTCAGCCCTTTGCTTCTGCATGCGGTCCTGCTGCCGGCGCTCAATTTCCTGTCGCCGCTTCTGCTGTTGGGAAGTGTTAGATGTCTGGCTTAGGGTACTCATAAGGCCGCCAAACAGTCGCTTTCCACGCTTCTTCTCTTCCTGTATAGCCTGTCTTCGCCGGTCTTGATTTGCAGCTGGAGCGACTTCCTTGCCATCACCCTCGCGGCTGTGGTCATGATCGTGATCGTGATCATGACTAGGCGATGGTTGCCGCCTTGAAGCTGCTGCTGCCGCGTCCTCGTCATCGTCGTCATTGTGCTTCGCACGCTTGGGAGAATCGTCCTCGGGGCCTTCGTCTTCTGCTTTCCTCTTGAGAGATGCGTCTGGCGCCTTTTCTGGCGCTGGACGCTCCTCATCCGCTGGCTTCGATGCCACCCTTGAAAAAAACGGCTGCCTGTCAGATTCCAAACCAGTGACGATGAAGATCAATCCACACTTACGTCTCCGACTCCCCCATCGTAGCCATTGTCTTTCCGATGCAAAGTTACCTCATCAAAGCTGCGTAGCCGTGAACAAACATGATAGAACCCAAAGCTAAGGCTGGAGCTGGGAGCTAGTGCGAAATAATTGGTTGAGGTTGTCAAGGCTGATAAGAAAGCTTGTCTCGGTGAAGGTTCCTCGACTAGATTCGGCCCCCACCATCGAGCTTTCCTAGCGCGTGATTGGCTAAGCAGCCGTTTTCGCCTCTGCGTTCTCTCTTCAACGTCACTGCAAGGCTGATGAGAAATCCACACCCTGCATTTCTAGCCCTTTGGAATCTTGCACCTGTCACGCATTCAAAGCTTGTCTTTTGTCCTCTCTCAGTGTCCATTGTCCCTTTTGCTCTTTTCAACTTCAACAATAGCCAGAGCGTCGCGAGCTCCTCTTGCCCACCATGTCTCGCCATCATCCGTAAGTCTCCATCCTCTCTGCTGCTTGCCATTTCTTCCAGCATGAGCTGACCATCCTCTTACCTTGCAGCGATCTTGTCATGTGCCGCAAGCAATCCGGCATCGCCATCGGCCGCCTCTGCGACAAGTGCGACGGCAAATGCCCCGTCTGCGACTCCTACGTCCGCCCCACGACCCTCGTCCGCATCTGCGACGAGTGCAGCTTCGGCAACTACCAGAACAAGTGCGTCGTCTGCGGCGGTGAGGGCATCTCGGATGCCTTTTACTGCTACGAGTGCACCCGCCTAGAGAAGGACCGCGATGGATGCCCCAAGATTATAAACCTGGGTAGTTCAAGGACAGACGTATGTTTCCCTCTTGCCCTCTCGCGTGCGAATTGTCGCGCGCGTGGGGATAAACGCGAGTATGCGCGTATGCTAACCTTTGGAATACAGTTATTTTACCAAAAGAAAACGAATCGGCAAGCAAATTACTAACACGGCTGTGGCCCGGGTTTGGGCGGTACAGCGGTGGAGAGTCACACGAGAACCCTTTTCAATACATCTTTGAAATCATGTGTGCATATGGGATTGGAGTATGACGGCGTATATACCGGACATCTTTTGGCAGTCTATTTGTGTTTTGATATTTCCTTGTTCTGACAATTACCTAATTATGAGTACATGTGGCGATGAGATTCGTCCATACGACCTAGTTCTAGACACTATTCAAGATTGGTTTAACTTGGAGCTAAGAAGAGGCATATTCATCATAAAATTATCGTGTCCGCGAGGACGTGGCACCGCAGTACAGACAATACCAGCTAGCTATCCAACAATAAACTCCATCTCAATGCAGAGAGAAAAAGAAAAGTGATACAAAGAAAAATTATAAATATATATGGTGTACAATGCCGGGAATCCACGTCCTTCTAAATATAGCTGACCTTGGTTCCCATTCCGATAGTGGCCGCAACCTTGGCCCAAGACGCTCCCAGCATTTGCTCAATACGCTGTCTCGTGGCTTTGTGGCCCAGCATGATGAGCAATCCCATGGTGAAGACCATCAGCCTCATGATTACGACCGGGTTGCCTGTCACGGAGCCGGCGAGACTCTCAAACACCTGTCGAAATCGGGTCAGGATCAAGGTAGCACGGGCTGTAATGGTCATGGATCCAGCTGCGGCCTTGGATTTTGATTTTCCAGTCGGGCGCGCGACGGTGTTTCGGGGCGATCCAGGTGGCTCGGCTCTCCCTACTCCGCTAAAGCTGGGAGTTTGTTCGATGCCATAGTCGCCCTCGCTCGTCTCTCGGCTTTGCCGTTCCTGTTCGAGCCGTTTCCGCTCCTTCTCTTCGTTCTCGGCCTTTAGCCGCTTTGCCTCGGCAATGTCTTTCTGCAGCTGCTCCTCCTGTCGTTTGAGCTCCTCCCGTTCCTGTCGTTCCTGTTCTTCTTGCTCCTCCTGCAAGCTCTGCAAGGCCTGCAGGAAAGCCTCCCTGCGCTCGTCGTCGAGCACAGCGCTAACGTTGATAAATTCACGAGCATAGTCCCACTCGTTGTTTTGAGGAAGGACGTGGAGGGTATAGAGCTCCAGAAGCTTCACTCGGGAGTTGAGGTCTCCGGGGGTGTTCGCGCCGTTGTTCCTTCTGGCGGGTGACTGGTAGCGACGTGACGGCGCCGTAAAATCATTCAAATCAAGATTAGGAATGTTTGACGAGGCCAGGTAGTTTTCCAGCATCTTTTGATTCAGAGCCTGGTCACGGGCATGCGCAAGCAACAGAGTCGCCCTGTCATCAACATTGAGGTTAGTGACTGTGTTGGGAGGACGCAGCACAGAAGGGTCAGCTCCAACTTACAAGTTAATCACCACGTCGGCATCAACGTCTCCTTCTATTCCGTGGTATCCATTCTTGACCACTTCCTCCCAAATGGATCCATCTCGCACTTTGGTGCACAGCGCTCTCCACTCCTGATTACCAAAAGCATCTTTCCCTTCTTCAGGCTCCAGCTCAACGATGGCATTCAGAAGGGTCAAGTATAGACTCCAGACTTTGATCCTGGTCCCTCGCGAGGACTTGGTCACCGGAGCGGGCTCGCCATCGTCGGCCGAGTTGGGGGGAGTGATGATCGGACGCAGCGTGCTGAGAGCTTCGGGCAGCCGACGCGTCAAGAACAGGGTCGAGGCCTGGCGGTATGTCTTGGAGACGGGCGAGATGCGTTTGGATCCGGAGGACGACAGGGAGGAAATGGACGAAGCGAGGAGGCCGCTTCCAAAGGACTCGTTGCTCGACACTGCCGGGTTGAACGAGGCGGTATAAGAGCCACCGTACGCCATGGCGAGCACTTGATCAACGCGACGAGCTAGACAAGGAGGAACAAGGGGCGGAGGTGGCGGAGGTGGCGATGGCGACACTCAGGGTTGGAGGCCAAGCGGTAAACAAAAGAGAGGAGTCAAGCGGGAAAGGCGATGGCTATCCCTATGCCATGCGACGCCGGAAAGAAGACTGCGCCCTACTCAATGAAGAAAGGGGATGGAGATGAAAAATGAGACGAAAACGAGAGGAGCAAGCCAGTCAGCTATGCTCTAATACTATAGTAGGTAGTGAAGTGGTGATGCCGTAATGATACGAGGATGTTTTTCAGCTGTTCGTGTCGATGCTGGCAAAAGTCGCGACCAGAATCAAATGACCTGCAACCACTTGCGGCCGGTCGGTGGGCAGACCAGCTTTTTCTCAGCCAGTGGAATTGGCCCCAGCTTTTAGCCTCGGCACCTCCAGAAGGGAGAGGTTCCACAAGCCGGGAGCAAAGCTGAGCAGGTCAACCGAGGCCAGCTGGTGATGGCGGCTGCTATCCGCTACCCGAGCTGATGCGGGCGGTTGTGTGGCGCGCGAGGTACCGCACTAACCTCCGCTACCCGATCTACATGGCAGGCCAACATCTGATCTCCTCTAGCAAGGATGTGTGGTCTAATTCCGGAGATGAAGAGCCCTTTCGAGAAACCCGCCATGTGCACTGGCAGCTTCTGTGCAGCCACTCATTTTAGGGGCCTCCGCGTTCATGTCATGGGGGCCGCTGGAGCGTCTCGGCCGGCGGGGGTGAATGCAAAATGCACAACAGATGCTGGTGATCTGGCAGCATGTGAATCAATCATTCATTTCGCCATGTGTGAGCATCTGGGCGGGTGAATCAGTAACTGGTGCTGGTTAAGTCATTTACGCCAAACTCGAGTTAAACCCGCCATGCTAATGTGAACTCGACAACATGTTATCCGTACACTTCGTAGTCATATAGCCCAAACCTCTCTCTCTATACCTGAAAGAGTCAACCCTCGCTCTCCCAAAAAACGCCTCTAATGTACATTTAACCCTAAATCATCAGACATGTTATCGCTCTGCCTCTCCGACAAGCAATTGAGTTGTCATGTCATGCATAATGGCTCTCAAGCCTCCCGCCGTCTTCGCGACCTCCGCGGCGACACCTCAGCATCAACCACATTTCTTGAGACGATAATGCTGTCCTCCCGATCCATGATGGAAGCCGATGCTCCCAAAACCTCTTCCTGTCGTATCCAGCCAGCCTCCAAGGCAAAGCAGGCCACGTCAGCCGCGCATCCAAATGCAGGTACATCTTTCGGGGCATCTGGATTTAGATATTTCCAGAGTTCTGCCGTCTCCTTTTTGAACTTTGCGAGCTCTCTTTTGCTGCCTTCAAAGTGGTCCACCATGTATTCGTAGGTATAAGCCAGCCAGAGCACATTCGTGTAGGGGGCATATGCGTCCCAAGAAAGCGGACCATCGATTCCCTTGGCGTACGGGACGTTGTGAGCTTCTGGGGGGAGCCACTCTCGGTCGGCTCGAAGCAAGAAGGATCGCATCTGCCTGTAAACTTTGCACTGAGGGTTGTAGGTGCTAGTGAATAGGCTGAGATCTCGCTCCAAGTCGTACACAATGGGCATAGAGTCATCGGTTGTTAGGTCTTCAGCTCGCGAGAGGCCATAGTCTAGGATTGTGATTTCGAGGCCCGAATAACCAAAAAACCCTTCTGCGTTGGGATCCCTCTTTCGGGGAGGGCGAGCTTGTCTAACACAGAGATTACCCTCGTGTAGGTCGCGATGCTACCATGGGTCAGCACTGTGATGCCACGGATGATAAACACACAAGTAGGAAACTTCAGAGGAACAGATACCCACCTCGAACATGGCAACCTCCTCAGCCCTGGCCAATGCAATCGCCTCCAATAGAAAAATGTCCCATAATTGATCTACGCTGTCCAATGGCCAGTTCTCCAGAGACTTGCCTGCGTCTCCAAGCTCCACAACCAGGAACTTGGTGTCATCCAAGTACCGGCTCGGTGACGGGTAATACTGTGCCCTACCCGGATCCTCCCTCTTCATCTTCTTCTGGACTGTTTGATGCGTTTCGAGAAGCTCACTCGTGGTTTTTCCCTGGACAATGTACCGTTCCTTGTAAACGGCGAATCCTGGGACGTCGGAGAGCCATTCGGAAATTTGCAACTCATTGTTGACATCGTCTTGTGAGTGCGGTTCCTCATCAACCAGACCAGATGCCACTTGCGTTTTTGTCAGGGGCTTGATTGGTGATGGCAGTCGGATGGCCTTGATGATACTGGTGCCTCGTTTGTTGGTGATGCGGTATACCTCTGCGGATGAGGCCTCGGCAATCTTGACAATCTGGTCCCCAGGAGGGCAGACATCTCCCCATGTGAGAACTCTCAAGGAGGTTTCATTCTTTATCGGAGCAATGCGCTTGCTTGTGCGTGTCCTCCTCTCTTTAGTCTTGTCTTTTTGGCGTATGTCGATCTTGTCCTCTAGGATTTGAATCTTTTTTGTTGCATCGTCCTCAACAATTGCAGTTGCCTTGAGCGCCTTGATAGAATCCCGCTTGATCTCAATGACTTCGGACACCTCGAGCTCGTCCTCCACAATTGATGCATCTTTTCTGAATCCTCTCTTTGACTTGACTTGAGGCTTTGGGGTCTCCAGCAGCGTTACTTCAGATAGCCTTTTAGTCAATGGAACAATTTGTTCCTCAACCGGCTTTGCATTTTGCTTGGCCGGGGGCTCTCGAACTGGAGTCTGGACCAATTCCGCAAACATGCGTTCGGCGTTGGATTTCTTGGACTGCTTTCCATATTGACGGGTGGTGGTTGTTGCGCGGCGCATTTTGAATCATATCCTCTATTCTTGCGTCTTTGCCGGAAGCTGGTTTGTTGGTTCAACTCATTGATCGTGATGCTCACGTTGGGCTTGAGAATTACTCTGCCATTCCCAATGTTGGCCAGGCAACAACATCAGGGGTCCGTGTGTTAGTCAGCCGGAATGGTCCACAGCGGCGCAACGTCATATGTGTTCATACGAGACCGGGCCAGAGCAATTGAAGCTCATTTATAAGTGATTTCATGTCATCTTCTTTATCAACCGCTTCTGTAGATGCCGCTGTATTGCGCTGACCAGGTTGACGATAGCAGACCAGGACAGGACAAGACATGCAATCTGTTCTGTAGCCTAATTGACGCTAGCTGGCGATAATTCCAGCGTGCTACCCCAGGTCGTAGTGCTAATGCAGTGCTGTAGAAAGTGTGTTGGGGAAAGCTAAGCTCCTGGTGATGGTGCACGGGCGAGACAGGCATCTCACGCTCACGCTCGCGACAAGAGATGGAGAAAGAAGAACCGTCGAATTGGGCAAACCATCGCACAGTAGATTGACATTCATAACGATTGATTCTTATCAACCGCAATCATATCATCAACTGAAGCGTTGCTCTCGTTTCCTTATCAAAAGCTCATACTATTAGGCGCGGAATTGCTCAACCAACCACAGGCAAGGCTACAAGGAAGCCCAGAGAAGCAGGACCCCACCCAGCCTTCGAGAACCTCCGCAAAAGATTCCACGCTGGCTGAATCGCCATCCTCCATCTTCTCCTCCTCCAACCTCACGCCAATTGATCCCGTCATCCGCCATGGCCGACGTCCTCAAGAACATCTTTGGAGGCGCAAAGCCGGAGCAGCCCGCTGCCGCCAAGCCAGACTCTGGTACGTTTTCCATTTCCTTGTTGCGCCGTTGACGCCGTTCCGATTGCTTGCCTTGCTTTGCGCCTGCGCCGCTGGTCACCTTGACAAGCCACGCCATGTCTCGGAGGAAATTCACAGCAGAAGCTGACCGTATTGACTAGACTTTGCCGACTTTGCCGGAGCTCCTGATGCCGTCCCCGAAGCCGTCCCCGAGGCTTCGACGCTGACCGGGTCGGTCGCCCAGCCCACGGGCGAAGTGGTCTGGACCAAGTGGTACAACATCCATGAGCGCCACTCGCTGTCCGAGTTCAAGCCCGAGGGCATCATCCTCGTCATCGCGTCAATCATCTTCATATTCCACATCTTTGGCACGCGCGCAAACCGCTCCAAGGCGAGGGCGTGGATCAAGGCCCATGCCCCCGTCATGAAGAGAGAGTTCGCCTCTGTCGGCTTCCGGGGCGTGCCCACGCTCGACGCCGACTTTGACCCCAAGTCCTTCATCAAGGAGAAGTCGCTCTTCGAATTTGCCTCGTACGCCACCGGCCGCCAGAACGTTGCCTTTATGGATGTCAAGATCACCCTTGCCAAGCGGTTCAACCCGTTTATGCACTACATCGAGCATGGACTGTCCCTGGTCACCGACACCTTTCCCGCCCCCCAGGAGGTTGTAGAGGCTACCATCTACCCCTTTGATGGCAAGGAGGAGCTCACGCTCCCTCCCGCAGCCGGCGGAGTCGAGACCCGTCCCAAGGACAGCAAGAGCACCTTTGACGGCTTCGTCTGGGCCATTGTCAACAAGTCCAGCATGCAAAAGCTGCGTGATGACCGCTACGACGTCTCTCTGACCGCTACCAAGGACAACTCCAAGCTGCCCAACTGGCTGACCATTATGAGCGAGAGCGCCGAGATCACCGATGCCTTCCTGACCCCTGAGCTGATTGAAGCCGCTACCAAGGCCGGCGACCTGTTCGAATATCTCATCATTTCCGACCAGCCCATTGACAAGCCCGCTCGCCTGGAGGAGACTGCGCCGCGCAAGCGAGTGTTCCTCAAGTACCGTCTTCCGTCGAACAACAACTACGACCAGTTCTTGCCCTTGTTTGAACACTTCCTTCGCATTCCCGATGCTCTCGTCAGGGACGGCCATTTCCGTCCCGAGGTTCTCAAGAGGGTTCGTGCCACCCGCGAAGCCATGATTGCTCAGATCAAGAAGACGATTGAGGAGGAGAAGAACGAGGAGCGTCAGATTGAGAAGGAAAAGGCCAAGAAGGCAAAGCGAGATGCCGACCTTCAGGGCCTGGATGCCAAGGCGCAGAAGAAGTATCTTGAGAAGGAGAGGGACAAGGAGATGCGCAAGTCACAGAAGAGGATGACAATGCGAGGGTAATAGAGGTGACGATGAGCAGATGTGTGCGTGTGTACGATGGTACGACATGGCGGCGTTTCTTTTGGGAGGTGACAACAAGGGGGAGAGATATGAAAACGTTGTCATATGTACAAGTAATGTGTACTATGTGATACTGGAATCTTTTGTTCGTTTCTTGTTTTCTCAATGGGTTGAGGTTCGGGCACCGGACAGTTTGGGTTGCAAACGACTCTAACGGTTTCGCGAGGGATTCATACTGAAGGCAAGGGAAAAGTACCAGGTAGTAATCAACACTTACATTAATACCATTCGCTTTTTTTCTGCGCCTGTCCTATGTTGTGAAATCATATGCCAGTATCATCATCATTTAGCATCTTTGCTCAACAAATCTTCAACCCGCTTGACCTTGTCCTCAGCAGTCTGCTTCTTATCCGTCCTGTCCCAGACGTTGTTAGCAAAAAGTTGATATAATCAAAGACGCCTCCATCTCGCCACCTCTAAAACTCACCTCGAGCCAACCCTCATCGATGACTGAACTCTGACAACCCCCTTCTCATGAACCGCCGTGTGCGCCTTGCCAATCACCGTCATGACATCCTCCCAGCTGCCCTCTACACGAAATGATAAATAATCAGCTCAATTGCCGTCTTTTCATGTTGTACATCATCTTCTTTTCAGCCATCAAAAGTGAAAAGGGGGCGGGGGGGGGACAAAGCTCACCAACGGTCGTTCCCGCAGAGTGCATCGTGTACTTCAACCCACTCGCCTTGAGAACACGCTGAACCTGCGCAACTTCTTCCGCCACGGAAACGCTGCCCGTGCCGACCTGCGAAAACGAAAAACCATCAGTAAAAAGAGAGAAGAAGAAAAAAGAACCCTCTCACACAGCTACGATGAAGGACGAACGGGGATCAAGCAGAAATCGGCATAGCACGTAGCCGGCGTCGGGATCGAAGCATAATCCATGGCTGCCGCGGTGGTCCCAAATGCTCGGTGAGGTGAATATGCGTAGATGTGCCTTGGGGCGCCGTAGAGCCGAGATGAAAGGCGCAGCATTCAATGAAGCTTTTTTTTTCTTTGGATGCAACTGTTGTTTGGGAGGTTGAACTGAGAAAGATGGAGGCGAGATTCGGGTGATTTGTGGAGGGGTTTTTAATTTAGAGGCCTTTTTGAGTGGCTCTTTAGCATCCCGAGTTGGCCATTTGCCAGAACACACATTAGTAAGTACTAGACCTAGGTACCTAGTAGTACTCAGCAGCTGCCGTTGTCACTACCTACTACCGATATTTTCTTTTAGTATTTGCCAATATATTTTTTTTCCTAATATCTGGTATAATCCCTAGCTTTTACATTAGAGACTCAAGATGCTGAATAGGTAGCCCTCTTGGAAGAGCTGCCTCTCTTTTTGGCGGGTACCGAACATTACAGTATATGCGTGGAGATGATGGGATGAAAGCATGGTTACAGATTTCAAAGTTGACGACGTGAGAGAAAATATAGACGAATACATCATGTGGATTTGCTAGATGCATAAAATCGTCTGCAACAGTGTTACACATCAAAGACCATCACATAGAATGAGACAGCAGACATGGCACTCTACACACACAATCTCGAAGCAGGCAGCAAACAAGGTACCTATGTATTGGAGATGCAAGTGCATCTCAAGGTATAAATGTTCAATTGGTGGCGAATAGAGCCAATGCCTAGGTAAGGATAGGTAGGTATGCAAAAATCGCAAGAATGTGCAAAAAATAATCTCTATAGTGCCCTCAGAAGATGATGTTTCCCCCCCCTCTTTCTTTCTTTCTTTCTTTCTTTCTTAGAAAAAGAAAAAGAAACCCCATGCATCGCAATCTAGATTGCCTTTCGAAATAAAAACGCCTCGCTAAAATGCCAAATGCAGCGTACCTGGAGAAAAACAATGGGTCGGTTTTATTTAAAATTTGATTTGTTTCTTTTCCCGCGTTCTCGTATTCCGCTGAGCTCACAATGAGCCACGCATGAGAAGCAGCCCCTTAAATCATCAACAGCGTTGCCGCAAGGAAGGCAATCAAGGCGCCTGTGCCAAACTCGCGCGCCTGGTTTGTGCTGTCGGCCGAGGAGTCGTTGTCGCTGTCGTTGGTGGCGTTGACTCTACCGGTGACCTGGTTGATGCCGTTGCTGTCGTCCGCCGCCTTGACGGTCGAGCCTTGGTCCCAGAAGTCAACGAGGACGAAGTTGGGGCGGTGGTTCCACTGGGAGTTGCACTGCTGGATATGAAGGCCCAGGTTTCCCTCCGTGGTGGTGCCGTCGCTGTTGACGAGGACAATGTTGTCAGTGTCGGGAATGGTGATGTCTGTGGTGATTTCCTCGTCCTTGAAGTGGTTGATGAGCCCCATGAAGCCTGATCCAAATGCTTGCGAAGCAGTGCCGGCGTCAGAGGGCCGATCGACAGTACAGTTGAAGCCGTCAAGCTCGACAACGGTAAAGGGCGTCTCGAAGACGTAATCGAACTCGGGCAGGAGGTAGGGGGATGCGGAAGACGCATCGATGTTGGTGATGAAGGACACGACACGAGTGTTGTTGGCAATCATGGTCCGCAGACTCGGCCACTCCGTCTTGCTCTGAGGAACGAAGCCAAAGTTGCTGAGGCCAGACTGCTGGAAAGCAGCCGCAAACTGAGAGACGTTGACGTCGTCCGAGTTGACCAGCAAGATGGTGATGACGTCCGAGGCATGGCTTACGACCCAATCATTGATGGCCGCCAGCCAATTCTCCAGGGGTCCGGCATCCAAAAGGCCGCACGAGGTGTGACACAGGTGAAGCGTGCCGTTCTCGTTGTGAACCTGCGCCTGAAGGAGACGCAGGCCAGCGTCCAGAGCAAGCGTGGCGTTGAGGAACTGGTTGCCGGCGATGGAGTTGCCGGTGCTGGCGTCTCTGAGAAAGGCGCTGTCGTGGGCTCCCATGTAGGTGATGTCGTTGTAATGGCGGTCACACAGCACGGGTGAGTTGTTGCAAACCTGTGACTGGTCTGAAGACGATGATGAAGTCTGTGATGGCGATGCTGATGAGGTTGTTGAGGACACTGCAGACGAGGGCTGCTGAGGGATGGCCGAGACGCCGGCAATGCCCATCAGGGCACCAGCCAGGACGTGAGATAACGAAAAGCGCATTGTGATTTTGAACTATCTGTCTTTGGTATATCACTGCCTATATCTTGCCCTTGTCAGTTATCATTGATGGAATGCTGGAGATGGGGTCGCTTAAAGGGATCCCATGTAGGCAGAGTACATACGCCAAGTCTCTGCTGCTGAGTGTCCAGATAGTACTAACCAATCTTGGAGATATAAATAGAAATGATTTTGTTCTTTTAAGAAAGAAAAGAAAAGAATGAAAATGAGAAGGATATGAAAGCAAATATGTATAGAACGAGTGCAAGAGAGAGACGAGAAGGAGACAAGCAAAAGAGGAAGAAGAAAGTTTAAATCATAGAAGACTAGCGGCGCATTTATGATAGGTACGAAGAATGCAAGGAAAATCTACTAGGTAGTGTCCAGATTCAACCCTAGGAATAAAATACAAGAGAAAAATAAACGTCGCGTACAGCCTCGGTGAGCGAAGAGAAGACGACCCAAGAAAGGAAAAAATAAGTTGAGAGTATGGATTGTATGAGAGAAAAACGAAACGCAAATGCCGTCTCGTCTCGGTCTGATAGGGAAAAAAAAAAAAGAAAAAAAAAAAGAAATGGAAGAGCCCCCTATCGGAAGACTTGCTAGCGAGTGACAATCTGGTGGCGGATCCCTGTCAACCTGCCTGTGCATTTTTGGCAGTGCCAGAACTGCGCCTCGAGACGTCAGCAGTGGAGACGCGCTGAAACTGCAGCAGATGGTGGCCCCTAACGCGAGTTTCTGCAGATCTCGGAGGTTGAGCCTCTGCATGTAGATATGGAATACATGGAGCTTGTCATATGATGTGCTGCGGTGGTCTTACATGCTATTCTATATAAGGCGGAGAACGAATAAATACACAAGATGAGATAATGTGGAATCATATAATTACAATGTTCATGGTTCATATATGATTCAGAACCAGGTACTTGCACTGCATCTACACCAAAAACCCACCACCGACGCCTTAAAACGTGCCATGGAGAACACCACACAATTGGCTCCAAAAAAAAAAAAAAAAAAAAAAAACTCATGTGTCATGTCACTGTATCTCCAAATACGAAACATCGATGTGACGAGGCTGTGTGGATTCCGATCAGCTCACTATAGTAGCACAACATAAAAAGAAGAGATGAAATAAAATAAAATAAGATAAAAACGCACAAGCTGCTGCTATTTATATCCCTCTCCCGCGTCCACACTAATCCCCTCTAGGCAATTCCTCTTCCAACTCCATATCCTCGACATCTTTCGCTTCTTCGCCCGATGGGATTTGGCCTCGATTAAGGTTTTCCGGCTTCCATTCCTTTAAACGATCAATGCCAACGCTCGATTTTTTTTCTTTTCTTTTCTTTTCGACAAGGGGGTCCATTCTCGTATCGAGCCAAATCTGACAGATGCGGGAAGGCACGCGATTAAACCCTCTCGTACTATGGAGCACACACGTACTACGAATTGCCTACTCCCGATGGTTTTCTTACGAATCTCTCCATTTTCTTCTCCTCACATCCATGAAACCAACAAGGAGAAAAAGACATACGTAACCACCCCTCGTAAACAGACAAACAAACCAATGCCCTCCACCGGGGGGGGGGGGGGGGGGGGGGGGGGGGGGGGGGGGGGGGGGGGGGGGGGGGGG